ACAATGGTGCACCTCCTCTACGCTGGACTGCCTTCTCAGTCTGCTAGCCAACAAACTACCCACATCAGCCATTTTCATGCAGTCAGATAGGTGACTGCCCACTGCACTTCACACCCACTGAAGCCCATTGTTTGACTCCTCCACTAGGTCAACAGCCCCCAGAGAGGCATGCACAAACACACAGGAGCAAGACAACACCACAAACACACGCAATCAAACCCACATTTTCCCTTCTCTTTGTTCTCTGTTATACAGAAATTAACAGAGACAAGATGCTGAAATATACATAATTCTGCACCATCCTGTTGTCAGACAATATGAGAATCACTTGTAACACCACATGACTGATCAGCTATCACCGCCCCCTTTCTTCTGCTTCATGCAAACACAAAATATACATCCTGTTCAAAGTCCACACTTTCCTGCAGCTCGTCCCCAGAGTCTGAAATGTTTCCTTTATCAACACAGATCCGAGTTCCAGGCAACTTTACACTGATTTCTGACTTGGTTCTGGTGACTGATTAGCTCCCCACTGGAGAACCAGAGACCAGGGGTGAGTGAAACCAGAGCTGCCGGTCCCACTCAGGGTCCCCATGTGTTGCTATAAGGTCACAGGGTCAACAGTCTGTGTGATGACCATCAGCTGGATGTCACTAGGTCCTTTAAAATGCTACACGTTTGACTCAGTGCGTCATTACGCCCGCTGCAGTCAGTTTTAAAGCTTCCACATGCCAGCTCAGATTACTTTTCTTTAACTTTTTTTTATTATTATTTATTTAAATGTTGTAAATGAGGTGGACTCTGAATAATGACACTCAAGGACTTTCATAAGAGAAATGACTGTACAACTTAATCAAACCCGTGTAACTGTCTGAGAGTTAGTGGCAATGAGTCTGAGGTCGGGGAACGAGAAAAATCCACACTGAATATAAAAGGCGTGAAAGCAGTGAGGACTCTGAATAACGTTTTCTCTGGTGTCAAGCACCCACTTTTAAACACGATGTTGCAATAAGTCTAGACCATGATGTACGATGTCAGAATATCTCAGCTACGCAGTCGGCAGCATAAATACCACAATGTATCTGCCACACAAACGCGCAGAGTCCGGGGCGCAACGTTACACCTCATATGCGCTTCCAAGGAGTCCGTGGCCAGCGTCCAGAGCTGCAGCGCTCCCGGATCACAACGAGACATATAGACGCCAAGCCAGCGAGTGAGAGACGCACAGACACACACACAGAGAGACAGACAGACAGCTGGAAATACCCACAGCAATATTATTACAGCCGCTTATTATGGAGCTAAGCGCACGGAGAAGAAACGCACAGAGCAGGTTGGGAGTACTTACCTAAAAGACAGGCAGAAGTGTGCTGTGACAGCGGTCCAAACTTTGGGATGAACTCTGTGGTGAATTGTGCTCAATACAACACGCGTCCACCGAATAATCCAAACTGACCTCCGAGAGCAGCAGCTGAGTTTAGTGAACGACCTCCACCAAAACTCAGAAAACAGCGCAATACTCCGTACGGGCTGCGCGCACCGGCTGATTTCACACCCACAGGCTGACTTTCACTTGAGAGGAATATTGTTCAGCCTGTGGTTAATGGAGGGGGGGGGGATAATAAGATAAAAGGGGGAAAACACGCAAAGTGTCTCTGCTTCTCGGACCTTCTCTGATTCTGCGTCCTCTCTCAGCCGCTCCTCCACAGTCCGGGCTCAGCAGACGGGCCAGCAGGCGCCACCAGGTGCTCATTTACATAACTGCACCGGCTGTGTCCAATCACAGCCGCGAGCAAGGTGTCTGATTAAATATTCCAGCAGGCAACTCGACCAATCAGCGCCTCCCGTGGGAGGGCGCTGTGGCCTCAACGACGGTGTAAAATGAAATCCAAAGTGAAGTCTTCGGGGCCAGTGGGAGTTTCAGCGTTACAGCAACACAGAGATCTGGGGGATATTAGCTTACCCACGATACAGCTGCAGGCAAGACGGTTTCACCTTGTTAACCCTTTGCTTGTCAGAACAGGCTTTCCTGCTGCTATGAAACTGATTTTGTTTTAAAGAAAATAAACTTGTAAACTCTTTAAATAATCTGTTCTTCCTCTTCACAGATGGTCAGGCCCATTTAATGTAGACCCAGGACTCTGCCTCGGTATTTACCTCTCTATTACAGAGTATTGGTGGTGTAACTGTATACCATTACTGGCTCTGGGCTATAATGACTCAGATTGGAGGGTTTGCAGTAAAACACAGCACTGAACTTGAATCAGGATATTTGTTGATGTGGGACCTTGAGGCAAAGCAGGAGGGAAGAGTGAATTCATGTTTGAAAAAGGGCCACATGTGTGCCCGTTTATGCTTAATAACATCGAAAAACTGAACAAGTCCGACTCAGAGAGGCTGAAACAAAGGTTGTAAAGCAGCTACAGTATGTGCTGGTACTTGCCCAAGAGTGAGAGTGGGGAAACTTTAGCTGGTGCTCAATCAGCAGGCACAGACAATAAAGGTCATTTAACAGACTCCAAGCTCCACCTTGGATCAACAGATAAAGGGAACATGGATACATTCTCTGCTGTCTAATGTTCCCTTGCACTTGTAGTTTAAACTTGCAAATGAGCTTTTTGTCTTGAAGAAGCTGTAAAGGCTGCGTAGATTCATACCATACAGTAAAAAAAAAATCAACTCAAATATTCAAAACACAGAGAGAGAATATCTCTTCAAGCTAAAAAATAATAATAATAATAAAAATAAGCGTAAAACAGCAGTTCCTCAAACAGCCAGTTGAAGCTGGGTAAATATTGGACCCTTTCGTATTGATCTGGTACCAAGTAAAGACATTACCGATACTTTTAACATATAAATGCAGCTTATTAATTATGAGATGAATCATCATCGATTTGAAATTCTGAACACATTTTAATGACAACTGTGATTTTTATTTTATTATTTTATTATTTATTGGGCTACATTTTGAACTTACAGAATAGAAACCAAGTATTGAACTTTATGTGCTAGTATCAATCCGATGCCAATACCAGTGTCGCTATCGATGCGATCAATATTTGGATTCATATGCAGCTCTACTGTACATTAGTCGAATGCTGATTGGTTGACAAGTCTGGTGGGAGTGACAGCGGAGTTGACCAGGAATGGGAGAAGCGTGAAAAAATAAACATCAAACATCTTATCTGGGAGCTATTAGCACATGTTTTTGATACTGCCCCCATCTGAAAGTAGTCGCTCTCTGCAGGTAAAGGTCTGCCAGCGTGCTAGCATTGCTGAACCATATTTTCTCAGTCTTTAAATCTGACGTCATTAGCCGTTCCAGGTCCAAACTCTGCTTTAGGTCCCAAAGTCAAACGAACACTGTGGCATCACTGAGAGTTACAAACTGTCTAAATTCTTTCAGCTGTTCAGCTCACAGCACGACAACAGCATATAGCACAGACGTTAAGGCGGCGAGGCGTGATTG